GTGAGAAGGAACCTGGATAGTAGGGTTACTTCGATATGAAAGCCTGTATAGTAGGGCTTGTGAGAAGGAACCTGGGTCGTAGGGCTACTTCGATATGAAAGCCTGGATAGTAGGGCTTGTGAGAAGGAACCTTGGTCGTAGGGTTACTTCGACATGAAAGCATGGATAGTAGGGCTTGTGAGAAGGAACCTGTGTAGTAGGGTTACTTCGAAGTGATAGTGTAGATTAGCTGACCCGTTTGATTTTGGGAACTGAGTTTCCATTAGTCGTCTGTAGATGTAATCTGTATAACTGCTAGATTTGTTGAAGCTAATCGTCTTTTCCTGCAAAAGATATCAGGGTTAGTTATATGCGATGCATGAAATGCAGGGTGAGATGATGTTCTCAAAATAAATGAGATTATGTTGTATATGGTATGCATGCGTATGTCATGATGTATGTTTGTGAAATGCTATCGGGGTATGCTCGTGTCTGGGAAAATAAATCCCTGACGGTTGCTGGAGATTTGTAAATATTATGTCGGGAAGAGATGCTGGATAATAACTCTACGGGGACCAACTTAGGGGAAGAGATACTCTGTTGGTAGACATGCTGATCTGGAGGAATAAACTCAGCTGGGGATGTCTTTTGCTGAAGATGATGAGCTTTGTTGGAGATTGAGCTTCTATATCTGGAGAAATAAACTCTGCTTAGGGGATGAAATTTACTGACTCGCCCGCGATTATGAACCTCGGTTGGGGATAGTTATGTCCTGTTTCAGGAAAGCTGACATCAATGCCTTTGGATACTTTTACTCTATGGGGGAGTGTATGTACCAATAATTATGTTCCCAAGCTGGCTCTATCTCGGCACCTGCTGGGCAGAGCAACTGTAGGGTTTGGCACTTCTTATTTTTCCTGTTTATGGAATTACGAGTAATTGTCTTTTGTTTCTTATGTATGTATTTATGAGCAGCAATTATTTTCAAATGCATATGTCAAAAATAAATCATTGGACGTTCTTGTAAAACAAAACAGAAAAAGAAAAACAGATTGAAGCTTCTTATGAAAATGATTTGTATTGATTTTTTGAAGTTGGCCTGTAATAGGCATTTTTGTACAAAGAGGCTGATGCTCTAGTAAGAGAACGCTGCCGAAAGATAGAAATTATACAATTTATGTAAAAGAAAGAAAAATAGCTATGTGAAACGACCCCATTAGGTTCCAACTTTGCTATTTCCTTTATATCTTCAAGCGTCTCATCACTTTGCTTCTTAGCCGAAGGTTGATCAGATTGGTTGGCGCCGTCCGAGCTTGATAGTCGATACCAAAGTCTGGTCGCAAGATGATCTAATGACACATAGTGATACACTTCAATCCCTAACTTTTTCCTAGATTGCCCTTTCGGGTTTTCAATCCACCGGGATACCTTTTTTTGCCCAAGCCTCCCTTTCGGGTTTTCGACTTGTCGGGTGTACAGATTTTTTCATTTTCATCCCTTATTTTTGCCCGAACCCTTTTGGTTCGCCAGGAAGCCCTTATTTTTGCCTAGGCCAGTCAACCTAGCGGGTCTTTGATTAGGCGTAGTATCTTTTCACTATGTCCGCATTGACAAGGTGAGGAAGGTCGTCACCATCCATGGTGGTTAGAATCATAGCTCCTCCCGAGAAAATGTTCTTAACCACAAATGGCCCTTCGTACGCGGGGGTCTATTTTCCCCTGGGATCACCTTGCGGCAGTATGATGCGTCTGATCACTAGATCTCCGACTTGATATTCTTGGCGTCTGACTTTCTTGTTAAAAACCTTGATCGTTCGCTTTTGATACGTCTGACCATGGCAAATGGCAGTAAGTCTCTTTTCATTGATTAGATTTAACTGATCAAGTCGGGTTCGGATCCAGTCGTCTTCGTTCAAACCCGCATCCTTCATAATCCTGATAGAGGGCATCTGGACTTCGATGGGTAGGACTGCCTCCATGCCATATACCAAAGAATGGGGGATTGCCCCTGTCGACGTCTGTGCTGAGGTACGGTACCCATGAAGAGCGAATGGTAACATCTCATGCCAGTCTTTGTATGTCACTATCATCTTCTGCATAATCTTCTTGATGTTCTTGTTAGCTACTTCAACAGTGCCATTCATCTTCGGCCGGTAGGGAGAAGAATTATGGTGTTGTATCTTGAACTGTTTACAGAGTTCGGTGATCATTGTGTTGTTGAGATTCGTACCATTGTCAATAATAATTCTCTCTGGTACACCGTATCGACAGATCATATTATGTCAGATAAACCGCGCCACGACGTTCTTGGTTACTGTAGCAAAGGAAGCTGCCTCAACCCACTTCGTGAAGTAATCAATGACTACTAAGATGAAGCGATGTCCATTGGAAGCAGTGGGCCTGATTTCTTCGATCATGTCGATGCCCCACATTGCAAAGGGCCAAGGATCCGTCAAGACTTTCAGAGGAACCGGAGGCACATGCACCTTATTAGTGTAAATTTTGCATTTATGACAAGTTCGAGAGTGCTGATAACAATCGGCTTCCATAGTGGACCAATAATGTCTTGCCCGTAGGATCTTCTTGGCCATGGTGTGTCCACTGGAATTGGTTTCAAAGGTGCCTTCATGTAGATCTGTCATGATCCTCTCTGCTTCACTCTTGTCTACACACCGTAGTAGCGTGGAGTCATGGTTGCGTTTATAGATGATTCCATTACTGAGGAAGAACTTTGTAGCGAACCTTCTCAGAAATTTTTTATCATTGACAGATGCCCCTTCAGGATACTCCTGAGCCTCGAGATACCTTTTGACTTCGTGAGACCAGGGTTTATCTGCCACTTCTTCGGTATCGATCTCACAACAGTGTGCTGGTTCATCCAACCTCTCAATGGTGATTTGGGGAGCTTCATTGTCCTACCTAACCTTGAACATAAAAGACATGGTAGCTAGCGCGTCCTCTAACTTGTTCTCCTCTTGTGGGAAATGTTCGAAGGTTACCTCCTCAAAGTGTGGGAGCAACGTCAGTACATATTCCTTGCAAGGAATGAGATTCGGGTGTTTCGTATCCCACTCACATTTGATCTGACTTATCACCAAAGCGGAATCCATGAATACACTCAAGAACTTAATCCTTAGGTCGATAGCAGCCCTAAGACCCATTGTGATACGGATGGAGAGCTGACTTGAGTGTTTTGCATTTGATCACAAATGTTGCAGTTAGCAAGAGTCACCACTGATTTTTCTTTTATCCAAAAGGAAAGGTGAAAAAGCACAGGAAAGACCTTTGAGATTGTTTCTTAAGTTCGAGGGGTAGATTATGAAAAAGGAAGGTATTAGCACCCTTTTCATCCATGGTTTTCCATGGGATCTTAGTTACTTGCTAGATCACTTGCTTTTGTTTGAAATTGTGCTTTGTGTGTGTGGGCTTTGAAAGTATTTTGAAAATATCTTTATAATGGTTCTCGTTTCTATAAGAACGCGTACAAAGTTTTGTTTCGAAAAATAGTTAAAAGATGTGTTTGTGGAATGTGTTTTTGAAAATGGTTTTGAAAAGATGTTTTACAATGGTTCTCGTCTCTATAAGAACGTATACAAAATGTTGTCTTTTTGAAAATGTTTTGAGATGAAAGTGTCGGTGTAAAAAAGGTTTTTCTTGTGAGTAAGCGAGTAACTAGGGGGCGAATCTACCTACTCGAAAGGTATTAAATGTTCTTTTCTTCCTCCTTTAGATGTTTCTATTTTACCATTGATTTGGTAAGAAGCCCCATCGTTAGATGTGGAGGGACATGCGCGGGTCAATCGTACAATCATTGAAAGCAACTTATGAGACGCTTTAGCAATTTTTCGTAAGGGATTAGATCATTTTATCGAAGGCAACATCGAGGGACTACGATCTTTTATCGAATGGTCTTTGCTAAAGCGTCCCACATTCGAGGGACATGACTATTTTTCAAATCAAGTGAGGTTATCCTAGAGATGCGCGTGTGAAATTGTGTTTGTTTAAGTTAACTTGTCTTTTATTAGGGTTGTCTAGCGGTTGATTTTAAATCTTGTCATACACACCTAATTACTATACAGTATAAGGAAATGCAGTAAAGTGCAGAAAATAAAATTCTACGCTATTACAGAGCTTTCGGGAATGGGGGTACAAATTTATAAATGGGGATGTATCAAATTGAAAGTTAGATTAAAAGTCTAAATAAACAACCAATACAACCCAATCGAATTAAAAATAAACGATTAATTAAACTAAAACAATCTATTTAATAAAATTAATTAGCAAAATAATTAATAATATAAAATAATATTTTTTAATTTAATTATTTAGTTTAAAAAGTGTTTATATTTTTTTGTATTTTTAATGATTTTCTTAATATTTTAATATTTATATTTTTTTTCAAAAAATAAAAAGAAATTTGATTTATTTAGAAAAATAAAATAATTAATTTTATTAACTAACTTATTCTACAAACAAATTTAAAGAAATAATAAACTAACACAACTTATATAAAAAAGAATTAAATAAATTAACAATATGACCTATCTAAACTAACATTACAAAACATTAATTATGCAATGTGAGTTTGATTAATATTCAGTTATATATAAACGAGATGCAGTAACTAGCATATAGCAAAATAATTTACCATGACACAACTCTAGGTGAAAACTAAAAGTAATATTGAATAAATTAAACTATACTAACTAAAGAAAATTATACTCTAATAAAAATAATATATTACACCTAAAACTAAATAGAAGAAAAAAAGCACAAGTGATGACCATAAACAAACACATACACGTGAACACAATTGCTTCCTCACCAAATTAAAATCAGCTCCCCTTATTGTTCAGAAAAGGAAAACAAATGTATAGGCTTATTGAAAAAATTGTCTTCTTCATTCAATCAGCTCTCTCTTATTTCATTCAAACATGAAATAAACAAATAGCATCAAACAACAATCAAAGATATATCAAGAGAGAAGAGAAAAATGAACTCACAAACAAGAACAGAAATGAGATGGTGGAGGTGGTGATGTCGTCCCCGGAAAAGCTCGTTTTTCGGTCAGTGAGAAGTGGCAACTTGAGCACGGTCTCCGATAGCTTCACGTGGAGGGATGGTGGCGCCCTTGAACTGTAACTGAGGGTGTTGTTGGTGATATCGAGTCGGCCGGAAAACGTGGATCTTGCGATCTTTTTTAATCTTGGTCCCAATTCGCCTTTCCCGTCCTCTTTCCCTTCTATTTTAGTTTTCGATTGTGAAAATTGTGGTGGTAGAACTGGTATGGAGGTATGCAAGACTTTTTCTCTGGGTTTTTTTTTGCTGTGTACTCCCCCAATTTCTTTTTTTTTTTGTAATCTCCCTTTACTGTCTTGCTATCCTCCCTCTTTATAGAAGAATGAGATATTGAATTGGGAGGGGAAAAACTTTATCATTTTTGAACAATTTTGGCTACTGTTTTATTGCTTTCTGGGCAGATTTTGTTTTGCTGATTTTTATGTAATACTTGGCTGTTTATGCAGGTTTTGGGCAGCATAGGACAACATGGTTTTGGACTAGTTTTGGGCAGATTTGCAGTAAGAAAGTAGCAGAATGTTGGCAGCATTTGAGACTGTTATAGGCTGTTTTTTTTTTGGACTGTCTTATGGTATTTCTACAGCACTTTTGTTGGGACTATTTTGCAATATCTTGGACAGCAAAATACCATAAAATTTAGCTTATTGTATTGCAACAGGGCTGGAAATGGACTGTATGTTTGAAGCATAAAGCTTTAGGACATTAGAATTAATAGTTTGATTTTTTTATGTACAAACTAGTAATTCTTCTTGTAACTATGTAGTAATAATTCCAAATAAAATTTGTAACATGAATGGAAACTTGGAACTTTGAAATTGTATATATTTTTTTATGTGGAATTTTGAACTTGAATGAGGAATGACATTGTAATGTTGAATTCACTTGAATTCACTTGAATAAAATGATTCATGCCTTGTACACTTGAATTAATGCGAAATCAAAGACATCATTTGAATGAATATTGGGAACGAATTTGTACCAAAATTCATGAGTGCCTTTTGATTGAAAAAATTGTACTTACATGATGAGTACGTAACTTTAACCATTGATCTCAAATGATAAGAACTCAAAATATACTTCTTCTTCCAAAACAAACTTGAGTTTAAACATTCCATTCAAACAAGACTCAATCTTTCTTTCAAACTTGATGAAACTTCAATTAGGCGTTTTTTGCGAATCTGCTTTGAATATCCAAAAAGGAATGCCTTATGCCAATGGTTCACAAAACTTAAACCAACCCAACTCGCATCGTGCATAAGAATTCAAAACTCAACCTAAAAGACCTTGAACAATCACTAGAAGAGGTTTCGAGGCAAAAGCTATCACATTGAAGAATTGACATCATGAAGTTATTAGGACTCAAGAAAGCTTTAAGTCAAGAAGATGACTTATAACGTTTCAATAAATTCCCAAGCTTTATAAACACCATTTGACTTTGATTCTTGTAGGAAAACTTGTTGACAATCTTATTTGTGACAATGTGCTAAGATATTCATCTCAAGATGTTGAAAATTGAGGAAATTACGATTCTTGAAAGTCAGGTAACAATTATTTGAGATTAGGTTAAAAATCCAGAAAGTGACCTCTAAAGTATTCGAAATTTTGATAATCTTCCACACATAATTGGCTCTTTACTTGTTAAAGAGGAATTGGAGACGATGCCAAGGAGAGTCATGTGCGAAAAGAACCACTCAAAAGTATCAAATAATGAAGAAGTTACAATCGTTTGAACTTGTTCTCGCAAAAGGTCTTTTTTTTTTGGGTTGACGTGGTCGTTTCCAGTTATCTGGACCATTGATTGAGTAAACTTGCGATGCAAGGTTTGAAACCTGGCACAAACATCCTTGGGGAGACATGAAGATCTGCGAAGACCATTTGAGAACTTGAAGACTCAAATTTCTTTAGAAAATGCAAAACCCTAATTGTGGACTTATTGTCTAGGAAGAGAATCTGTCTAGTCAACTTCTGAGCCAAATTGCGTATTCGAGAAACCCTAGGATAGTATCTTGAATGAAAAATGGGAGGGCAAATTTTGGGGTACAACACCCATGATGCACGCTTCATACTCCGCCATGTTGTTGGTGCAGTTGAAACATAATCGGGCGGTGAACGGAGTATGACAGCCCTCGGGAGATATGATTACAGCGCCAATGTCGTTACCTAGTGCGTTTGAGGCTCCATCAAAATACATAGACCATCGGGATCCCTCCTTAGGTCCTTCATCTGGTCCAGGTTCTTCATAGTCAGTCACCAACATGATATTCTCATCCAGGAACTCAAAATTCATGGACTGGTAGTCATCCACGGCCTGATGAGCCAAATGATCAGCCAATACACTCCCATTTATTACTTTTTGGGTAGTATATTGTATGTCGTACTCAGTTAAGATCATTTTCCACCTTGCTATCCTTCTGGAGAGTGCGGGCTTCTCGAAAATGTACTTGATCGGATCCACCTTCGATATTAATAAGGTAGTGTGAGTCAGCATATACTGTCTCAATCGGTGAGCAGTCCATGCCAAAGCACAACAAGTTTTCTCGAGCAATGAGTGTCGTGTCTCACAGTCGGTAAACTTTTTGCTAAGGTAGTATATTGCGTGCTCTTTTCGACCAGACTCGTCATGCTGCCCCAACACACACCCCATTGAATTGTCTAGCACTATCAAGTATAATATCAAAGGTCTTCCTTCAATTGGAGGCATCAAAATTGGTGGTTCTTGAAGGTATTCCTTGATTCTTTCAAAAGTGTTCTGGCATTCATCATTCCACTTTACCACTTGATCTTTCTTCAGAAGCTTGAAGATTGGCTCACAAGTAGCAGTCAGATGTGAAATGAACCTGGCGATGTAATTCAGACGTCTCAAGAAACCTCTAACCTTTTTCTTTGTGCGGGGAGCTGGCATCTCTTGTATGGCTTTTACCTTCGCAGGGTCTACCTAAATACCCTTGTCGCTGACAATGAAACCCAGAAGCTTACCAGACCTTACCCCGAAGGTACACTTGTTTGGATTCAACCTCAACTTGTATGTCTTCAACCTGTCAAACAATTTCTAGAGATGATCAAGGTGCTCTTCCTCAGTCTGAGACCTGGCTATCATGTCATCAACATAAACTTCGATCTCATGGTGAATCATATCGTGGAACAAAGCGACCATGGTGTGCTGATAAGTTGCCCCATCATTCTTCAACTCAAAAGGCATCACCTTGTAGTAGAAGGTTCCCCACTGTATAACGAAGGTTGTCTTCTCCATGTCTTCAGGAGCCATTTTGATTTGGTTGTAGCTAGAGAAACCATCCATGAAGGAGAAGATTTTATGTTGCGTGGTGTTGTCGACCAGAACATCAATGTGAGGAAGTGGGAAGTCATCCTTGGGGCTTGCCCTATTCAGATCTCTGTAATCCATACACATCTGTACCTTACCGTCCTTCTTAGGTACCGGGACGATGTTAACAACCCACTGTGGATACGAAGTGACAGCTAAGAATCTTGCGTCGAACTGTTTCATGACTTCTTCCTTGATCTTCTCTGACATTTCAGGGCGCATACGGCGAATCTTCTGTTTAACCGGAGGACAGTCTTCTTTAGTTGGAAGGTGATGTACCACAATATCAGTGTCCAAACCATGCATGTCTTCATAGGACCAGGCGAAGATCTCAACGTAGTCGTGCAACATCTGTACCAACCTCTATTTGCCGCTAAGCTCCATATTTGCACCTATTTTAACCTCTTTTCTGTCTTCCTCAGTACCCAAATTCACTATCTCAATCAGCTCTTCATGAGGTTGTATGGCCTTTTCTTCCTGTTGTAATAGTCTAGCAAGTTCTCCAGGCACCGCACAATTATCCTCACCTTCGTCTTCGGCTTGGTTGATCGGATTTTTGAAGTCATAACTGGAAATAGCAGAGCTGCTATCAATGGATCCAGAGTGGATATGGATATGCATTATGATACGTGAGTGTGTGTAAGAGAATAGCTGTTTTGATAAAGTAAAAAAAGAAAAGAAAAACAGAGAGCACAAAATTTGTATGTAAGAAACGTCCAATCCTTTATTTATGGTATATGAAATGACAAATAATATCCCTCACAAGCAAAGCCAAGGTGTCTCGGGCAAGGCACCAGGCCGTAAAGTTTTAAATTGTTTATTACAAATCTTAAAACAAATAAGTCAATTACCGCGGAATAAAAGAAACAGGTATAAAGCCCCTAGCCGTCCAGTTACTCGGTCCACCGTTGGTTGTTGGGTAGATCCAGCTGTCGATGTTTGAGTCTTCTTCATTGTCTTCAATGGCATTAACCCCACGATTGCTGATGCGTAGGGGAGGTCCTCCAGCCCGAGCGCGTCTAACAGCCCTTTGAGCCCCTGTAGTAAAGCCCAAACCAAATTTGTCAGTTTTGTGAGTGAAATCAGGGAGCTGACCCCAATTGGTACACCCGCCTTCTTCAACCACGGCCCTGGCATCCTTGAGAGAAGCCATCTTCAGTGGAGGTCTGCTTCTAGTAGTAGTTTCAGTCGATGCTGAGATCTGAGGGACCTCTTCGAAGTTTTGACAAGGAGTTTCTATGAATTCCCCGTCCATCTCTATGTAGCAGAAGGAATTGAGGTGGCTCACCATGCATTCTTTTTCACCCCGCACGGTGACAATCTTTCCTTTCACCGGATACTTCAGCATTTGGTGGAGTGTGGAAGTAACTGCCCCAGCCTCGTGGATCCAAGGACGACCCAGCAAACAAGAATATGACGCCCTAATATCCATCACATAGAAAGTGGACCTAAAAGTCTGAGAACCCACTTTGACAGGGATGTCCACCTCCCCGTGCAACATTCTCTTTGACCCGTCAAAAGCCCTTACTACAATGTTACTAGGCTTTAACGTCAAACCCTCGCAATCCAACTGATCCAACCCTTCTTCGGCAGAACATTCAGTGAAGACCCAATATCTACCAGCACATGAGCCATAGTGGTGCCCCTGCATTCGATCGAGACATGCAGAGCATCATTATGCTTCCTTCCCTTTGGTTTCAAATTCGCATCTGAAAAACCCAACCTATTATCAGCAGTCAGGCTAGCCACACAATCTTTGAACTGATCAGTTGAAGTCTCTTGCGGCACATGCACAGTTTTGAGGAATGCAATCAAAGCCTTCGCATGGGCTTCAGAACACAACAGCAGAGGCAACATGGATATCTTTGATGGGGTCTGCCCCAGCTTCTTGACCACATTGTAGTCGCTCTTTTTAATTATTTTAAGTATTTCCTCTATCTCTTGCTTAGAGGCTTCCACAACAATTTTCCTAGGTGCCTCCATCCGGGCAGGCTCACCTACAATTTTCTTGCCGCGGGTATCAAATGATTCACCGACAAGGGTAATAACAGGAGTAATAACAGGAACTGTAGTGGATGTACTAGCAGGAACAACAGATGGAATGACAATAGGCTTGTTGACAGTCTTAGGGGAAATCTCAGGAGAGAAGACCCTTCCACTTAGGGTGATTTTGCTGGTTCCGACAATGTT